GTAAGCCGGCTGCTCTGATAGTCGGTGAGCGGATAAGTGTAAGCACCACCTTCACCACGGAGTTGGCGGAGGAGGTTGAAGACAAGACGCCACAGGAAGCGGCCATAGTTGTCGCAGGTCTCTGCGCTGACAGTGTTGAACGTTGAGACCGAGTTGTCCGTGCTGAAATTGTTTGAATATTTAGAGTAAGAGTCGAAAACGGGAGAAAAACTCACATTCCGACATCGGCGAGACGCTTTTGCAGGCCAAACCCGGCTTGTTTTTTAATCTCGCCTTGTATCCTCGCTATGTAGCCTACAACTGGTTTGCTGAGGGTATGGAGATCACCGTCCGCGGTTGTAGAGATGCGGCATGACTCGACGAGCTCGGCACCGGTATACTGCGCGATATGATCCAGCCAGTGTTCGCGCTGGAGAAGGATCTGACTGCTGTGTTCGCGTTCAGGGGCTGCGCAGGGGAGTTCAGAGTAATCAAAAGGGCCTGGGTGAGTGGCACGGAAAATGTGCAAGAGATTGTCGGTGTTGTTAACAGGGACCATAGGCGGCAGTAGCAGGAGATCAACTCTAAAAAATTGTTTATGTGGGCCGCCGTTGAACGTTTGCGCGTGTCCGGTAACAGAAGTATTTTTCTCTGCGGCTGCGCGTGGACAGCGGGCAGCATTGTCTTGGTGGCTGCGGAGGGTCTCACGAGTCTTGTAGCCACGGTAGCAACGACCGCAGAAATGATATGGCTCGTCAGTAACCGAAAGTCCAAATATGGGGGCTACGGGTTCGGTTGGGACCGCCGCTTGCGAAAGCGGGAGGAGGCCGAATTCGTCGGTTAGCTGCCTAGCGATTCCAGGGGGTATGGGGATCGCCTTGAAGTGGCCGCGAACGTGCGTCTCCATGGTTTGCGGGTCGATCGCGCATGCGCAATACAAGCAGATCAGGATGTGGTAGCGGACATTGATGATAATATCAAGGGACGGAAGGTTGAATGTAGGGTGAAAGATCACAGAGTCGGTGTCTGGCTGGCGATGAGTCCACGTTGCAAGATCCGCGGGTGGGGCTCCATCCAAGTCAAGGTGGCCTTCGTGAGGGTTGAGTTGGCTGGGGCGGAGAGGAGGAATTGGATCGGGATCGAGGACAAGAGGGCTTGGGTGGCGAGGGATAAATAGATCTGTTCGGCCTATGAGATCGGGATCTGCGCGGGCGGAAATTCCTGCGGGTGCAATAAGATCGGGGTCGTCCGGGACAGCTGCATCGCCAGCGTCGGCTACGCATTTTTGTGTGTGTCTCTGGACAAGGGTAAATAGGAGTGAAAAAGAAGTTTCCGAGGGCTTACGTCGAGGCCTTGGGGGGTGGGCGAGGAGAAAGTACAGCGAAGACAGTGGAATTTCGAGTCTTCAGCACGGCTGACGGAGACTTTGACTGTTTCGGGGTGATTATAGGTCACGGTGGTCCGCTGCTGATGTACTCTACGCCGGTGGGTCTGGAGAGAAACATGGTACTTTCTGATTGGGCATTTTTCACACCAGCCAGAGTCGTTTTTTTTGGGGGCAGGAACAGGAGACTGTGGTTCATCAGAGTCGCTCTGGTGATTACTGGAGGAGTTTTGGTCGTTGGCGGAGTTGTCTGCTGGCAGCGGGTCGCGAGTAGTGGAAGGGTCAGTCATCATAGTGAAGAGCAAAAAGTAAGTGAAGAATTTTGCTTCGCTTCTGGCTCACACGGTCACGTGAGTCGGAGCGACCCCAATGTATTCGAAAAGGCCTGCCTATCTAAAATGGTGATATTTCTCCATAATAATGCAAAATGGGAGGTGCAAACAATTTTACTTGAGTTGCAAGTTCGCGGATTCCAAATTTCTACATGGTATTTGTTTTTTGACAAGAAAAAAAAACTGTCTCTATAGAAAATCTTGATATTTCTGGTACTATATGATACCAGGGGCATATTGTAATAGAATGTGCTGCTGGAGGCTAGAAAAATGCCGGTGAGCACTCTCCCATCAAGAATTGATCGGAGAGTGCTCACCCCCATTTGTGGCTGTGCAGGTATTTCTTACGAAGAACTGAATGAGTGAAGAGGAACAAGCACTGTATCGATGGGACTCAATGGGTTTACACAGGGTTAAATACAAATGTCCACTGGTGCTTTGCGACGGTGACTTCGTCGTCTCCCCATATAGCGCAAAGGTCCTTCCCCTCGGGCCAAGGGATTTTATCTGAGGGTAGGGTGAGGGAATGTGATTGGTCTAGGCGGAAACACATACCACCTAAAAGTAGGTACCCATCACCTTGCACTTCTACACCCGACATTGGAGACAAAAGGTCTAGAAGCATTATGTTTTCGATCACCGCCTGCGCAAGGTATAAAGGGATGAAAGAGATAAGAAGTGCAGTGACGAACAGAAACGTTCGCTTGGGAGGCATAGTATTGAGCGATTATGGTACGCGAAGGGAGGCTGAGCAAGCATAGGTGAGCATCCTGGGCGAAAGAGGTAAAACACGGTTAAAATACCTGCCAATGGGTCCAGCGCGTACAATGGCGTTGACGATGGTGGGTTGATGGAGCTCCGAAGCGGTGGAAGGATGCTTTTGAGGAGGGTAGAAGAGGATGGCGGGCTCAGAGAGACGAAAGAGACCGTTGGGAGGCATTGATTGTGGTGAGGGGAGAAGAAGAGCAGTCGAGGCATGTGATTTGGATGTGCCGAACCCAAGGCCGAACCGGTGCGAATGAGCCGAATAGCAAAGAATTGTACTGACTGGGGGACCTCGCGTTGTATTGTGTGTAGGAGCGATGATGTTGTGAGGCAGGCTGCAAGTATGCGAAACTTCACGGTGTTCCCGGGAGGTTTGGATTCAAGTTCGATATTAACAAGATGGTGAGGATTGAATGATGGGCATGTCGGGGATCTCGGAGGTTGAATTGTGATGGAAGAACGCATCATGGTAATGACGCTCGGAAAGCATCGAGCTAGAGGGAGTAATGAATGACGTAGGAGATGAAGCCGCTCAGGAGATCTTTGTGAGAGGAATGGAGGGTTTATGCAAAGCCGCACCCATGCGTGCGGCATTGTGCATGCCGTAGGCGGATCCGTGATGTCGTCTGCCGACATCTCCAAAGTTATTTTGGCTGAGCAGAAATTGCAAAAAACCACATGAGTGGAGCCTGCGCACCATGCGGTTTTTGGGCAAGGGCTCTAATGAATGGTTCAAGTGGAAGTGAGGAAGCTGGCTTAGTCGGATTCCAATTCTAATTGAATGCTGAAGATGTTGATATCATGAAATACAAGAGAACGATCAAGGCGGTGGTGGCTGTACAGGTAAGCTCCCATTTTTCCCACGATAACATGCGTGGCGCCACACTCCAGACAACTAACGGTACAATTGCAGCTCAGTCCAATTCAGAGGCTTGGTGGTGATGATGACGGGGGCGGCAATATTATGGGTGCAAAGGCGGGATAAAAAGGAGATAAAATCATAATCAAAACATGGTGGGTAGTATTGGGTGTGGTGAGAGGGACTATCTGGGCTTGGGCGATTAACGGAGTAGCCGGGGGTGTTGTATTGGGGGATGGGAGGACGAGTGGAATTGGGGCGTGCAGGGGCGATGGGTAGCAAGAGTGGCGGAGTAGCAGGGGGTAGGGCGGTGTTGCGAAGGGGCATTGGAGGGCGGGCGGAATTGTGGTGGTGCGCGGGAGTGGAGACGATGCCGGAGGTGCCGGGGAGGGGCTTTAGGGGGCGGGGAGGTTGGGGTGGTGCAGAGGCGCGTGGTAGATGAAGTGATGGCGGGAACTGATAGCGGGGCGTGCGGGACGGACGCCTGCTAAAGATTCGGATCAAGCGAGTTGCCAGAGCCACATATCACCAAACATGACGTCATGAGCGACGGGGTAGCTGGGATGGGGTTGGAGGCGGGCGGATGCACGGGGGCGGAGACAATGCCGGAGTAGCAAGGTAGGGCAGCGTTCTGGCAGGGGGCGTTGGGGACCGTGGTAGTGCACGGGCGCGCGGTAGATGAAGTGGTGGCGGGAACTGATGGCGGGGCTGGGGAGCGGGTGGAATGGGGTAGGCATGCACGGGGATACCGGGAGTACCGGCATGGGGCGGCGGCGTGGTAGCGTGGGAGCGCAGTACACGGAGCAAGGGTCTGCTGAAGATGGTGACGTCGTGGATCGAGTGAGTCGCTGGAGCCACACAGCGCCAAACATGGTGTCATGAGCAGTGGGGTGGTGGGAGATGCATGAGCGGAAGGGCGGTGGCTTGGGTAGCGGCGAGGTAGCTTGGTGGCAAAAAGACGGCCGGGGAACCATGCCGAGAGGAAGAGGGTACATAGGAGAAGCCGAGATGACGTAGTCTGTGCTGTTATGGGATGTTGGTAGCACGGCAGCATGAGCCGTGGTAGCGCCGAGGGTGTGCCGTGGTAGTGGAGCATAGTAGTATACCGTGGTACCACCGGCGAGGGCGGGGCAGAGAGGGCAGGAGGTACTCAGGAATGGTAGCAGGACCGGGGGTCTCGGAGATCGCCCGAGCTACTGAAGGATTGACAAGCATACCAGATTGGGGAAGGTGGTGCAAAGAGAAAAAGGTTTTGAGCAAGATGATGTCATTTTGAGCAAAAAAGAACCCATTACGTCAGACTTGATCGAGCGAGGTAGCCGGTCCGCGGGCGTGATTTGAATACCAGCCGGGGCACCCGGTAGCTGCGAAAACCTGCCACTTTAAAATATTCATAGGATTAGAACGGGAGGGTATTTGGGGAACTTTTTGGGGGGTAGCAGGTTCAGAATTGGGTGGAGAATACAACGGGTGACCCCTAGAAACAGTTTTGGTAGGCGGGACGGTATGTAGGTAGTTTGCAACAAAGCCCGGATCTGGAGCCGAAATAACGTTAGACTGTTTCCTCGTTTAGAAACATAGAGATGAGCGTTATAGAGTGCAATTCATAAATCGTAGTGGCCACTGACCAGCGGCCGTGTGTGTGACACGAACTGGTCTGGGCGTTCCCAGAACAAAAAGCAGCTCACTCTGGGATTCGAACCCAGGACCATAAATGAAATTTGTCGTTGAAGTACAAATGCATCTAATGCACTCCCGCTGTGCTAAGTGAAGCACCCCGAACTTGGAGTCGAGGGAAGAGCTATAGCATTGAGATTAGTGTTATAGTCAACTGCGTTGTGTTCTGTGAATTGATCCTGGAATGCAGGTTGGCCTATGAACGGGCCTATACACAGAGCAAGGGGTTGGTTTTTTACCAAGAAACACGGTGGATGATGGGCAGCCCAAAGCATCAATGCCTGAATGATGGGAGCGTGCTTGCCCGCCGAATTCTCCTGCCAGATTGTGCACATTATCTTTGACTTCGTGGATGCCTGACATCGACCAAAAAAAGCTCACTCTGAGATTCGAACTCAGGACCAGGATTGAAAGTTAAGACACAGCAGAAGACCTAACATCCGATGCAGTACCACTGTGCTAAGTGAGCGACGCACAGGACAAAAATCAATTCAGTTGCCTTCGGGAATTGACCTCCCCCACATCGGAATGATGCCGGAGAGGTTTGTATGCAAGCCTGTGAACCGGCCTATACACAGGGTACTGTCAAGACAGTATGGTGCCCTGGACATACTACGGTCTATGCCTGGGTTCGATTGCCGGGACTGTCTTTACAAAAGTTTCCATCGCTTTTTGTTTTGCTTACAGTGCTGTTGTGATTCAGTCTGTGTTTTATAAAGAAACACGGTGTAAGTGGTTCACCTTGAAAGATCCAGCGCAGACTTACCAGGCAACTTGCAATGTGAAAAAAATTTGGTAGGCTTGGGTGCGATCTAGACGAGATCGATGGCCGCAGGCAAAAAGCTATAGGGTGGAAATGAGCGTTATAGAGCAAAAAGAGAACGATTCATAAATATGTTGACACACAAAACGCGTGCTTTCTTAATACGGCATCGTAAGGATTGATTGACATACACCAGCTCTGGCACTACGGATCCAGTGAGAACACTGAATTCTCCCCGATATCGACAAAAAGGAGCTCACTCTGGGATTCGAACCCAGGACCGTAGATGAAATTTGTCATCGAAGCACTAAAGACCTACATCTGATGCACTACCACTGTGCTAAGTGAGCGACGCACTGGAAAAAAATCAATTCAGTGGCCTTCGGCAAATTGATCGGGCCCACATCGCATCAATACATGAATGATGCCAGAGAGGTTTGAATGCAAGCCTATGAACCGGCCTATACACAGTGTACTGTCAAGACAATATGGTGCCCAGGACATACTGCAGTCTAATTGTAGGGCGTGCCTGGGTTCGATTCCCGGGACTGTCTTCTCAAGGCTTTCCGACGCTTTTTGTTTTGCTTACTGTGCTATTGCGATCCGGTCTGTGTTTTATAAAGAAACATCGTAGGCTTGGGCGCTCCGTCGACGGGATCAAGGGTCACCGGCAAAAAGCTATAAGGTTGAACTGAGCGTTATAGGGTCACGTGACTTGTTCCATACAAAAAGAGAGTGAGTTCCCAAATAGGTTGTTGGCAAGCTATAAGACTTTGTTTTGACTTTTGGACCGAGAAACCTGATTTTTTTCGAATTTGGCCACATTATAAGGTGCTTGTAGATTTGGACTTTTGAGCTGATTTTTGGGGGCTGTTTTGGTTGCGCATCTTTGTTTTTAGCAGCGATCTCTCAGATCTGTTTTTTTTTTTGCTTGTAGCTTTTCAGTTTTCAACCGACTGTTTGGTCGGTTTTTGTTCCACATTTTTGTTTTTTTGACAGCCATTTTTTTTCCAGACTATAGCGTTGTGAATGTGCTTGTAGCTTCTCGTTTTCAGACCAGTTTGGTTTCGCCATTTCACTGGAATTTTTTTTTTCTTTCTATAGCTCCAGAATTTTGACGATCTACAACGCGCGAATGTGCTTGTAGCTTTTGTTTTTTGGCACGGTTTGTTTTTGGCTCAGACGAGGTTTTTTTGCCCAAACCACCGACAGTTTCCTGATTTTACACCAAACTACCGACAGTTTCCACCATAAAAGGCAACCAGCTTATTAATGCCTACAGTTTCCCTGTTTTTGCACCAAACTACCAATGGTTTCCGCCCGGAATTTCCTTTTATGGGTGGAAACTATCGACTGTTTCCTCGTTTAGAAACATAGGCAAGCTATAAGACTTTGTTTGGACTTTTGGACCGAGAAACCCGATTTTTTTTCGAATTTGGCCACATTATAAGGTGCTTGTAGATTTGGACTTTTGAGCTGATTTTTGGGGGCTGTTTTGGTTCCGCATCTTTGTTTTTGGCAGCGATCTCTCAGATCTGTTTTTTTTTTGGCTTGTAGCTTTTCAGTTTTCAACCGACTGTTTTGTCGGTTTTTGTTCCACATTTTTCTTTTTTTTGATAGCCATTTTTTTTCCAGACTATAGCGTTGTGAATGTGCTTGTAGCTTCTCGTTTTCAGACCAGTTTGCTTTCGCCATTTCACTGGACAATTTTTTTTCTTTCTATAGCTCCAGAATTTTGACGATCTACAACGCGCGAATGTGCTTGTAGCTTTTGTTTTTTGGCACGGTTTGTTTTTGGCTCAGACGAGGTTTTTTTGCCCAAACCACCAACAGTTTCCTGATTTTACACCAAACTACCGACAGTTTCCACCATAAAAGGCAACCAGCTTATTAATGCCTACAGTTTCCCTGTTTTTGCACCAAACTACCAATGGTTTCCGCCCGGAATTTCCTTTTATGGGTGGAAACTATCGACTGTTTCCTCGTTTAGAAACATATAGAGCTGACCGCCCCAATCCATTCCTTCCTTATAGAGCTGACCGCCCCAATCTACTCTATATGGTGAGCTGACTGCCCCATTCCACCCGTTATAGAGCTGACCGCCCCAATCCTTTCTATAAGGCTTCCTGACCGCCCCAATCCAGCTCTATGGGAATTTATGACTGCCCCAATCCTGCTCTATAAGAATTTATGACTGCCTCATTCCGTGAACATGGTATTTTGGCCATAGTTCACCTTATAGTCTGGAATGGGGCAGTCATCAAGCCTTATAGAGGTGGATTGGGGCGGTCATGAGGCCTTATAGAGGGATTTAGGCAGTCATTTATTCCGGATTGGGGCGGTCAGAAATTTTTCCAAGCGGTGATTTTTACAGAATTTGACACTCTATAGCTCTTTTTTGAGCTTATAGAGTGGTAAATTTCCGAAAAAAAGTCATTTTTCATGGTTTGGGGCGGTCATTTTTTGGATAAGATAGATAGTGTTTTTTCCTGGAATCCGGCGGTCATATTGCGGATAAGATAGATAGTGTCTTGAGTGGGTGCAGGCGTGGCGCGGTGCGCAACATGTACAGCGGGCGAGTGTAGCGACTTGGACGCCGACGCAGTCGCGTAGCACGTCGAACGCCCAGCTATCGCTTTCGCACCTTATAAGGTCAAGTTAATGCATTACATTCTGGGGAAATACCGCAGATGTAATGCATTATCTCTGGGGAGACCATATATAGTAATATATCACGTGACCAGCCTGATGTCCGAGGAGCAACAAATTAAATTAATGGAATGTTAACAGCGGGAGTTGAACCCAAAAACACTTGCATGATGGCATCAAAATCTGCTAGCAATGCTACATACCATTATCCCATCAGAGCCTTATAGAAGTGCTGCATCTGATCAGAGGATATTGGGCTGGTAACACCCCTCCTCTGGCCTGCTAAGGCCATTGGTTAGGTGGTTAGGGTTTGGGGTTGGTTAGGGGTTAGGGGGTTTGGGTTGGTTAGAGGTTAGGGGTTAGGGGGTAAGGGGTTAGGACACAGGAATATTGATGTCTTTGGTTAAAGGTTTGGGTTGGTTAGGGGTTAGGAGGTTAGGAGGTTAAAGGTTTGGGTTCAAACACATAGAAACAAACAATAGACAGTGTCAAACAACTGCCGAAGAGCTAGGCCAGCTTGCCTGGCCTAGGTCTGGGTATTAGCAGTCCCAGGTAGGGCAAGGCTAGCCTTGCCCTAGCTGGGAAACAAACCACAACTTATATAACCACTTTAGTCTAATAGCTATGTGTTCAGTGCTTTGCCATCATTTGTTGATGTAGAGGTTGTGGGTTCAAACCAGGCTTTTGACTATTTTTCTGAGCTTTATTCTCGGCATCATTTATCTAAATCCTGGGACCATATTACCCAATTGGGAACATTGTGGCAGTGTGGGGAGTGCCCAAAGATAATGCATTGCATCTGCGGGATTTCCCCAGAACATAATGCATTATCCTGAGTATATGAGCTGGCTTTCGCAGTCTCTTGCGTGTGTGGTGAGCCACGATACGGGGCGCAATAGTCGCGCGGCGTGGTGAGAACGTGATGGCGTCGCTTCCGCTGGTGGTCGCGGGGAATGTCGTGCGCGACGTCGGAGGGAGGGTGGAACCGGGGAGGCGATGCCGAACGAGATGGACAGCGTAGGGAGTGCACAAGCGGCGGTGCTGCAGATAGGAAGAGTCAGCAAGGGGAAAAAATGAAAGACGAGCGGGGGAGGGGAAACGGGGAGGAGGAAAGTGACTTGGAAGACGTACCCCTGCGTGCAACGCTCTACTGGTCCAACAAGATGCAGTGAGCCTTCCCTATCCGTCGCTGGTGGTAGGCGGGGATGAGATGCGGAAGGTAAAGCATTCGTCTAAAAAGGGTGATTAGACTGATAGTCTACGGATTGGCATCGTGGAACTCACACGACGGTGGTGATGTATCGGAGAGAATCGAGCAGCGGATTATGAGACATTGAGTCTGCGGTTGTATGCCGGCTGACTGGCACGGGAGCTGGAGCGGGGCAAAAGAGCCCAAGTCGAGACTTGCGAGTGAGGCCGAAGAGACCCGTCGAAGGACGAAGAGCACCGACGGCGGGCGGGCGGGGAGGCGAGCAGAACGCAGGTGGGAGGGATGACAGTCGGTAGTAAACGACTTGTGCGCTGGGTTGTGAGTGAGTGACGTGACGGCGGCGAAGGTCGGCGCCACACGCGCACAAACATGAGCGTCCCGCGAAGTCCGAGATTAGGAGAAGTCAAAGCTGAGAAATCGACAAGAAATCGACGTGATTCTGATTTGAAGATGCAAAGTTCGCATGGTAAAGAGGACTGAAATTCTTCCCAGGATGCATTAGCGTGCAAACTTGCTGGTTGCGATCGGCGATCTCAGGATTGGGGTGTATACAAGTAAAATGAGGGAGCTTGATCCGGCGAGTGCGTCCTCCGCTTCAGCCTAGGGGTCGGCGACCGGGAGAGGATGCGCGGGGTGCCTTTCGGGTGGTTGATTTTCAGTCGCGGGCGAATTCCGGCTGCGAGCGAAGCCGGCTGCATGGCACGGCGGAACGAACAGCTCTGCTGGTAATCCAAGGGGCGTTCCTCATCCAGAGATAGGTGGTGATGAGGAGGAATCAACAATAGAAGGATTTGAGGTCGTCTAGTGTGAGAACGCCAACACGGGAATATTGGCAACAGCCACGTCGAGATCGGTGAGATGACGAGGATGAGAGCTGAGCAATCCGCGGAAGGTGCGCCGACGAGGCGAAGCGATGCGCTGAGTGCGTTAAGCGCGGTAGGAAGGTAGAAAGAAAGGGTTGCGCCGAGGCGCGGGCGTCAGAGAATCAGCGCAGGTAGTGATTAGCGAGAGGAGCAGGGAGGCATTGGTAATGCAAAGCGGCGGCGGGGAGAGGTGCACGTGAAGAGGTGTAGGAGTGGTGGACGTCAGCGAGCGGCGGGCGTTTTAAGTGTAGAGAAGGTGTACGGCGCAGCTACCTGCGAGCACTGCCGTGTTGGTGCAGGTGTTGGCGACGAGGACCGCGGATATCATACGGGCATGCCGGTATTGTGTCGAGCGGGAACCGGAAGGACAATAGACGAGCGAGGGGGCGCACAGCGGCTGCATGAAAGGCGGCGCTGCAGATAGGAAGCGTCAGTGAGGGAGAAAAATAAAAGGCGGGGAGAAGAAACAGGGACGAAGGAAGTGACCAGGAGGAGACGTACTCTTCTGCGGCAACATTCTCAAGCTCAACGGAGGGGGGCAAGCCTCTGCTATTCGTCGCTGGTGGTAGGCGGGGACGAGACGCTGGAGATTCGTCTGAAAAGGCTTGATGAGAAGGAACGGATTCGG